TCCCAGAATTCTGGGAGTTGAAGTCCACACATCTTAAAGCTGCTAAGGTTGAGGAACACTGTCTTACAGGGAGCATCCTAGGGACACAATTTGGGGGAGGGAGGCATCTTTGTGTTTGGGGGGACAATGTGTGAATTCAGGTTCACAGCAGATAACTGCCTTCCATCATCTTCTGCTACATTAGCACTGTTCGATTTCACATTACCATATGCTTATGTTTGAATGCAAGACATTATTCAAATGAAGAAAGGATAGCTAAGAGGAATTCATTCAATAAAACGATACATAGCCTTGTCTGAAATCGCATCATTTTCAGTATGGGGACAAACGAATGATATAAACCAATTGGATGCAGCAGGGTTACCTGCCTCCCCACTGAGACTAGAGAGATGTACTCACAGGGCAGTGATACAACAGCTTACTTGAGATGGGGAGGTGCTCTGGTTCTACAGCAGCTTTCCATTATTTATATTTAGTTCTTTTGAGGAATTAGTTCAACAACTGCTACTAGTAGTGTGCATATTTTAAGATCCAAGTTTCTAATTCTTTAGCTGTTGCTTCCACACATAGAGAAACATTACAATGCAACTCGTATTTACTACTCAGTAAGTTGCATTAAGTTCAGTGGGATTTACTGCCAAGTAAGTATCCACAGAAAGTTAATTCCATCCCCACCAGCAAATCCAGATTTCTTTTATAAAGTGCCAAGGAGACATAGCATGCTGCGCATTCAGAAATATACTTGGGATAGGCAGACAGCTATAAAATCACCCTGGATCAACAGAAATCACACATACATACATAGAAAATGGGAGCATGGCAAGAATAGGAACAGAATACCAATGTCCAACACACTGAATTAAATGGAAACGTAGCAGGCAAACAATTGTATGGAAAGTAAGATCACAGTTCCAAGAAACCAGGTTAATCTCTCCTCAAGTAACTCAATGAACAAGTATGGGTGGGTTGCATCAATATTGCAGTTAACCAACCCATTTGCCCTGTCAGCCATATGGCTTGCTTTATTTATTTATTACCCACATCCATACATGTGACTCATATGACTACGTGGCTTAGAGTGGACAATCTAAAAACAGCCATAAAATAATATATAACTTAAACATGCAGCCATTCACATAAAATCACTATAGTTCCATTAAAAGCTTCCAGACTGAACATCCTTTGGAAGAGAACAGTCTTCACCAACATTTGAAGACAGCAGGATAGGCCAACCTGACCTCGGGGGGCATGCCATTCCTGGGGGCAGGGGGGCTGCAACTGAGAAGGTTGTTCTTTGAGTGCCAGCTCTCCCCCCCCAATCTCCTGTGGGATGGGCACCTGAAATATCCACTCCCTGCTTCACGCAGATTCTACCTGGAGGAAGGGAGCCCACAGGTAGGGGGAGCTCAAGTGTACAGAGCTTACAGATAATCATCAGCACTTTGAATTGGACCAGAAGCCAACAGCAACCAGCTCCCATAAAATAGGAGTTATTCTGCTGAACCGGCTAGTACCAGACAGCAAGCGGGCAGCTATTCTATGCCAGCTGCACTTCTGAATCACTTTCAAGGGCAGCCCTATGTAAAGGAAAGGACAGAGGTCTAGCTGAGAGATAACAAAGGAATAAGGCATTGTCTTCAGCACCCCCTGGTCCAGCTGGTGTATCTGCCAGAGCAGGTCAAAGGCTCTCCTTTTTTGCATTTCAGGCTTCACTAAGATGATTCCTTCTAATTGTTTTAAATTCCCATTAGCCTCAATCACATGGCCAATAATTACAGATGATGGGAGGTGTAGTTCAACCACCTCAGGGCTCCAGGCTGGCCTATCTCACAGCAGTGTAGGAGAAAAATACAAAACATGATAACAAGCAGAGATTGTTTTTTTCCTTCAAGAGGCTGCACATCTCCAACTTTTATGACTTAACAAGGCTTCATCATTAGAAAAACAAGTCTTTGTTTATCCCTACAAAAGCAAAACCAGAATTTCATAGAACTCCTAATGCCAATTTACTCAAATGGCATCATTAATAAAATTCTGCTTTTTTGGTGGCAAATTTGGGTTGCCTTATCATCCAATTTCTCCTCTTTCTTTTAAACTTGGGAATCCATATAGCTCTGGCCAAAACTAGCATCTAGGAGTCCCCTGGATGTCTCTTACTTCTAACACAACATACTGTATCATCTTATTACAAAAGCAGGCATAAGTGTATATGCATATGCCCTTCATATGCCATTAGTTCCAGCCCCCTGGCCACGGCTTGAGAATGATGGAAACTACAAGCCCAAACCCCTGAAGCAGAAACAGAGATCCAATCCTCCACACAGGCCTACAACCTCAGGGGGTGCACGTCTTGCTGAGATGTTATAGTCTGAGGCAGATCAGAGATTCTTAACAAAGGGACTTTGTAGGGGGAGGCAGGCAGGAGGGCCACTCACTTGGTCCTGCAGAGTCTGAAGGGCCAATTCATGCTCTTTTTGACAACTCTGCAACTGGTCCTTTAATTCCAAGAAGCCCTGAGAAAGAAGGAAGGAGCAAATTTACCAGAGACAGAACATAAAGGGAAGATTTCACTGTTGCATTAGATTCCAGTAGGTTCACCCCTGAGGTGGAGAGAACTCTGCCCACAAAAATTATCAGCTGAGATAAACCTCAGAACCGTTAAAGAGATAAAAGCACAGATTCTTCCCTTTCTTAGGAGAAAAAAGGGGGGCATCCTGTTTTCTAGGGCAGGAAACAAACAGCCCATTATTGTTAGCTACATTTATGCTTTATCCACTTCAACCGTCTATGGTTTTTCCCCCAAGGAATTCTGGGAACTATAGTTCCATGAGATACTACAAATTATCTGGCGAGTGGGACAGCCTATACATTTGATTTATAAACAAACAACCTCAGCTCCTTCATATTTCTCAAGCTTCAAGGGGGAAAGTTGTGGCAGTTAACCCCAACAAGACAGCCATGCTTTAGACAAGTGTTTCTTAACCTCAGTGTGCTGGCTGGGGAATTCTAGGCGTTGAAGTCCACAGAGCTTAATGTTGCTGAGGTTGAGAAACACTGCTTTAGACCCTGAAAGGCCAAAACTATTCTAACCCTACAGGTTGGAGACCTGAGGCTGAAAAGAACTGAGCAAGTACGGAGCTGAACTTTGCATGAAGACCTCTCATAAATGATGAAACTAAATAATTTTATTTAATAGGCAGGGAAGGTATGCTACATGTTCCAACCGCCAGGGACTTGCATTTGGTGGGTCCCAGGAGGTGGGTTTTCTCTGCCATGGCTCCCTCCTTGTGGAACATTCTCCCCCCGAAGTTACGCTTGCCCCTTCCCTGCTGCCAAGTCCCTCAAGACCTGGTTATGTCATCAGGCCTGGGGGTCTTTGGGAACCAGAGACATTTTTAGATGGCTCCACTATGATTGATATTCTGCTCTCTCCACGGGGTTTCTATATTTTAAAATTTTTAAACTTTTGGTTAATGTTGCATTTTAAGCATCACTTTTTTTCTTTTTTATAATGATTGAATAAAAGAACAAATGGATAAAAAGAATCATTGCAGGCTGCCCAGAGTTGCTTTGTGTGAGATGGGCAGCTATATAAATGTGATATATAAATAAATAAATAAATAAACAAATAAAAACTTCTGCTCAAGAGGTTTTCTTGCTGATGGAGCAAAGCTCCTGGACACGCTTTCTAAACCTTATGAATCAGGCCCCTTTAGCCATGCCTTCAGTGTGGCTCAGACTAAAGTACAGAAGAAAGAAAAATGACTTTTACCTGGTTTGTTGTCTGGAGCTCCTGCTGCAGCTTCTGGTTACGAACCTGCAGAGATTTGAGCTCCTCCTCCTTCCGTTGTTGGATCTCCTTAATTTTAGTCCTGAACAGTGGAAGGGAAAATTTGTTTAGAGAGGAGAGGGAACTCAGGGACAATGCTTTCTTCTCCTTAAGCTGATGTTCTTTGGGCAATTCTGTCAGCTGTTTGAATCTCCCTCTCTTTATAGCTAATGATCTCCTCTCTCACCTCCCTACTTGGGGAAATGCCTCCTTTTCATTCCCATGTCATCCACTCATCCCCATTTCCAGCTTTATTGCTTCTTTTCCCAGGAATATGCTTCCTTCCCCACCTTTCTCCTCAACACCCACCACTGCAGCAGGTCTTTCCCCAAAGCACTTTAATACCCTTGTTGCCCAATGCTCCAGCCCCATATCCCGACTTTCAGTTAAAATCTGCACCCAGCTGATGCAAATTCCAAGCAAGAAAAGAAGCAAGTACCATCACTTTTCAGTTATGCTCAACTCTGGGGGCTCACATGGTTATATCCGTGCTTTCTCAGCAGTGTTATGAAAGCGGTCTGCCCCTGCCTTCTTCCAGAATGCTATATTAATTCAATGTTCCAATCTGGCCAACAGCTCTGAACCTCCCAGGTGGTCCTCCATCTAAACAGTAATTAAGACTAACTTTGCATAGCGTTCAAGACCAGCCAAGGTCGGCTAAGAAGTGCAACATTAGATCTAAATCATGCACGTCTCTAATCTATTTGGCATCAGGGTCTGTTTTACCTAGATCATTTGCTTTTGCTAATCAAGGGAGATACTGTATATACCAGCCCTCTTGCACTTAGGGGCACTGCATCACCTACCCTCACTGTATTATATTGTTTTGTTCAGCTATAGTTGGTCTGCTATTTTATTATGAATATGTTTTTTGTATAGCATTTAAAGTATCTGAAAGCCATACTGCACACTCTAATAAGAGCAAAAATGACTGGCGTAAATAAATACAAGAAAAACGGGGCCAATGATCATTCAGGAGGCTGGGAAGAAGGGGGAGAGTCCCAAGGCTTTCTGCACACTTAACTGGGTCCGTTTCAGACCAGTCAGGTGTGGGGGTTAGACCAGAAGACCTCCAAGGTCCCTTCCAAGATTCTATGATCTATGAGTGCAATTCATTCCATGCCGTTGGCTGGCTAGCTCAGTGGATTCCCACGGGGATCCCCTTAATGCAGTGTTGTCCAAACTTGGCCACTTTAAGATGAGTGGACTTCAACTCCCAGAATTCCCCAGCCAGCCAGGTGGTTGTTATGGCTGGGCGGGGGATTCTGGGAGGTGAAGTCCCCTCATCTTAAAGGGGGCAAAGTTTGACAACACCGCATTAAGGGGGTCCCCGTGGGA